ACACTTCAAAAGTCCATCGCACCTCCTTACAATTGCTTGTGCACCTGCCTCAAAAAATGAGCAAATCAATAGCATTGAAGGCAAGCAGTTAGGATGCATTGTTGAGTCACAAGCTTGCAGTTGCATTATTTCTGAAAAATTATCATGAAAGTGTCATGCCGTATCTTGCAACAAGCAGTGCTGCATAAACTTCATACAGAATGAAATCTAGAATTTGAAGAGACACACTAAAGATTGTGGTCGAGGTCCAGGTAGTTAAGATGAGGCACATGCACTTCTCGTGCACCACGTCCTCAACCCGTGCAAGAAAAGAAAAGGAACTTGAAACATCAGTTACACTACTCAATCCATCCATCTATTTAGCAGCGACCAAGTCCAAGTCCAAACCTCATTTCACTCAATCCATCCATCTATTTAGCAGTGAAAGTCCATGGCAGGTGTTCTTGACGGCAGGGTGGTCAGTTTTCTGGATTTTTTTCCTTGGGAGGGTGCATTTTTTTAGCATGTGGGGGCAACGTGGGAGGGGGGAAACGAACGAAACGAACGAAATGATGTACGTACTCTCCTAAAATAATCAAGGATACTGGTGGTTTTGTAACCTTAGTCCTTGTCACAAGCTTAGTCTGAATTTATGTACTTCTTTGCTCTTCAGGTGATCATTGACTTCACTGCTTCCTGGTGCGGTCCTTGTCGTGTCATAGCCCCAGTCTTTGCTGAGTACGCCAAGAAGTTCCCTGGCGCCATCTTCCTGAAGGTGGACGTTGACGAGCTGAAGGTAAGCATAGCTCCATGATCCTCCAAAATATGTCTCCTTAGTGAGAGTGAAGTAATGCCCTTCATCTCCTTGTTCAACAGGATGTCGCTGAAGCATACAACGTTGAGGCAATGCCAACCTTCCTGTTTATCAAGGACGGTGCGAAGGTGGACACTGTTGTTGGTGGCAGGAAGGATGATATCCATACCAAGATAGTGGCCCTCATGGGTTCTGCATCTGCCTAATAAGTGAAGAGTGATACCCCGGTTACATCAATAAGAGCCAGCACCTGGTGTAAGTAGTTATCGCTGCGGTATGCTTTGGCTTAGTCGTGACAGAACTTTGTGTTGATTCAGTTTAGAGTTCAGAACTTCAGACATATGCACTAGTTGTTCTGAATTACAGTACCTAATGTTTGCTACAGTTGCTTTGTTGTGAAGTTTGTTTAACTATCCTGCCTGAATGTTGATGGAAAGCCAATATGCCGCTGGCCTTATTTATCGATGTGTTGTACTGTACCGCGTTGTTGCATGGCGCTGATAGTGGTGCATTAGAATGAACGTGTTGATTGCTGAGGGTATCAGTGCATCTTCAAGCAGCAGCACATGCACATCGAAGTTTTTTCTTCACATCGCCGGCGGGAGCACAGCAACGAGCCGCTGCTGCCAATACTGGGCTGCTGCTGCTCGTGGCGGTGGCGGTGGCGTAGTGGAGTTAGGAGGAGGAGGCGGAGGCGACGCCGGCTGCACGAAGTCAGGGGCGTACTCTCATGTAACTCTCCTGATGTTTGGACAAGAGCTAGCCGATCAAAAAACAGGGTCAAAGTATGCCACATGAACATAATACATTCTCCATACGACACCATTTTATATCCGTTAATTTTACGTAAATGACATAGATTGACGGTTGAGATTTGAAATATGATCAACGTAACGGATTGGACCACCCTTTGACATCCAGCCAACTAGGTCCGTGTTGTTGGTCTCCTTTGCAAGTACTGATCCAATGTCCGTGTTCTGACCCCTCCTCTCCTCTTTGTCTCTCTCTGCCACAGCGACAACGAAGAGAGACAAAGAGAGTTGTAGCGAAGGATGAAGGTGAAGACGACGAGTCTTGGCTGTGGACGACGCCACTGAGGGGCGCACGTGCGCTCGGGGAGACGCAGGGACGCGTGGGAGGAGGCAAAGGGCAGCAGCGCAGCAAAGAAATGGCGTCTCGCCTGCAGGCGCGGTAGGAGGAGCGGCACAGGGGAGCTGCCGCAGCGGCTGCTCAAGGCAGAGGCGCCATGGACGACCCCCCGCATGGGGAAACGACATCGTCGGTAGCTGAGGGTTAGAAAGACAGGGAGTCATGAGAGACAAGGGAAAAGAAGGCCGCCGATGAGGGCGCCTGGATCGCTGCCGCCGCGAGGAGAGGATCAAGCAGTAGAACAGGTTCGGGGCAGCCTCTCTTCCTGTGACGGCGCAATAGGGATCAAGAGAGAGAGAGAGACAATGGAGAGATGGGGCTCGCTTAGTGTAAAAGGGAGGTCAGCTGGGACTTGCGGTTAATGGGCCGGATGGCTAACTAAGCTGGTTTTAGAGAGAGAATCTGTTTACATAAAAAGAAAAAGATAAGCAAAAATATTTACTTGAAGGGCCAAAATGAATCTAAATTGAGCTGGAATTTGGCGCGTTCACCACGACGGAAAGAATTGAGGGAGCTTACCAGATCTCAGTTTACTAGGTTGCTTAACGATTTGTTTGGAGGTATACCCGTACTAGGTTGTTGTAGTAAAAAAAATTCTGAAGACGGTGCTTCTGCTGTTGGATTTTGCTCCTTTTAACTTCCATCTCGGTGCAAATGTTACAATGATCATGTGTATCAACGGCAACAACCTCATTTATTATTTGAAAGTTGATGTTGCATGTCGTTAGTATTGCTCAAGTGACTCGAAGCTATACAAATTGTTAGAAAGGGAAACGAGAGACAATCGAGAGAGCCTTGGAACAGATGTAAAAGTGAATTCTTGTTCTCATTGATGATGGGTTACACATATATATAACCCCCGAAGGGGTGTTTCCGAAGGGACACGAGGCAACCGCCTCCTTTAGGAAAAGTAGGGATTAACAGGATTAATTAAATCCTAACACTCTCCCCAATCCATGCTTGTTAATGTAAGTATCATCATCTTGAGAAGCTCCTCCCAAAACCCTGTGGGAAAAAATATGAGGAGATATGTGTTCTATATGTTGCTAAAACTCCTTCAAACCCAGTGGAAAAATAAGGAGAAAATGATGCAACATATAATGGTAATTGTCTCTTTTAACTCAATACGAGAAAATCCATAGAGTTTAGAGGACAATAAATATGTCATATATACTTTCCTAAAAACCCCGATGGGGAAAACAGAAAGTATGACATATGATCTCATGTTGATATTACCTCATTAAAAACATTTATGAGAACCTGTAAAGTAAACTCATGAAAGGAAAAAGAGCATAATATGATGCATTGAACAGAAACAATTCAGGAAGATACTCCCCCTGATTCTTGCAAAAATTCGAAGCCGCCACATACCAAGACATAGAAATTGGTAGAGACCCGCTGAACAAATCAGTCGCATGATTTGACTTGCAAGATATGCAATATAGTGATATTGCTTATTATGTAACCTGTTTGCATCCGGGCAACACAAGAAACATTATCGTTGAGATAATGGTTGGTGAATGTAGCCATGAGGTCTGATTTGAAGACTCTTCATGAGAGGGCTACCACACCAAGTAGGAACACTAAATTTGTGTATGATCTGATAGTGGGGATCTGATCCATGTAACCAATGATATTGGTGTTCAGATTTCTCCGAAACTGAAAAACCAGGACAAGATGTTTCATGCCTTGGAGATATCGAAAGATATTCTTGAGTACCAACCAATTGTCTTTGGTGGATCCAACGGCATTATGGAACGTTGAGTTCCAATATCTCATTTCCATCATCTTTTGGTCTAATAGATCTTTCTTTACATCTAGAGAATGAACTACCATGAGAGTAATGGATAGATAAGATTTGTCCACAATGAATTTCTCCAATATATTTTGGATATAAACAACATAGTATACCATAATGCATGAATGAAGGTGTTCAAGTTGTAGTAACGAGCGGTATTTTGGTTTACCAAATCCTTCATTTTAAAGTCCGTCACTCAGATGATTACATGTGTCGTCATTGCAGACACACAACGCATAGATAATCATCATTATAGGAATAATCCTTGTGTATAAGGATCTCACTACGTCGGTTGTACCATATGTACCGACAACAATAAGCAGTATGGTGGCTTACCGATTTTACACAATGTATGTTGCATTTTGTATTTCGATTCAGAATTGAGATTCCATCGGAAATCAATCATATATGTCTGAATCTAGTGATCCACATGGATATGTGATCGCTACATCTATCAACTGCAGAGATAGATGATTTTGAACTGCCAATTATATAAGTTATCGGAATGAGATTCCACCTCAGGAGAATAGTTGGGTATCTGCGTGAACCCTTGTGCTACAATACTTGCTCTTTGTTTCACCACCTTATTGTTCTCAATTCTATTTCCAGAAGAAAACTGGTGTAGGTATTGCTTATGAATACCTTCCCATTATTGAGCAAGATCATTTCTATCTAGACTATACCCTTTACTTGAGTTCAGTCCGAGTGTTGTTCACACTTTGCCATGGCCATGGTCTTTGGATCTGAATCATTTGAAAGGTTTTTGCAATCTAGTTGAGAAATGTATGTCGACAATTGTAGACTTCCGGTTATATGATTCTCCAGAATCTATATATCAATATATAGTTGACGGAAATATCGTTACCCATGGTGACTCCTCGCGATTTCCCAATGCAATTGAGTCGGGTATTCCGATGTCCCGGTCATTGTGTGCACTATGACCTGGGTTGGTGGAGGTTTCCCGTCCACTGGGTGTATACTACCCATTAGGTGTCTGCCAACATGAAGTTGACTTGCATTTACTGATTCACAGGCCTTGATATCCTTGCTTGTGATAAGCTGAATCCCAACGTACTTCTGCCATACATCTCCCCCTGTTACTTTGAACGGGGAGTGGAGTGGATTTTGTTCGTACCTCCACTCTTTCAGGCGTACTTTTGTAGGATTGTAGGATTGTGTGACACCTTTATAGTCAGTAAATGAATCTGGCAGGTTATTTGCAATGTGTTGCAAATCTTTTGAACGCATAGTTCAGATCTTTGAGTACGTGGATTTGAGGCAGAAATGTGTTGAACATTCCACTAATTTCCTGGCATTCTTTATGGTACTTGAAATCTCCCCCTAATGCCCGGAAATATTCCTCATTGAATCAGCATACTGACCTTGAATAACTCCCCGTGCGGGGGCTTGAGGTATTGACGAAAATACAGTTATTCCTCACATAGATCCCAACTATATGTTGAGAGGCCAATGATGTATGCCGGGTGGTGATATCGGTATGCAACCGAATTATCGTAGATAGGAAATACTTGGTAGATATCCACATATCAAATATACAGGGGAATAATATTATGCAGTTCTGTCATGAGCGTGTAAAACTGCATGACTCCAACGTAAAGTTGGCAAGTTGCAATTCCAAAGTAAAGATTATGCAATGAGCTTAACTATTTGGATAGGATTCTACCAAACCATTTTGAGTCTAGACCTTAGGACAAATTGCTAAACTCAATCCAAGGGCCATAGAGAAGGCACTTAAGGAGAATTCTGCAATGTAATCCATTCGATTTGCTTGAAATCGATGTCAGGATAATGAGCCAATGGTTTCGTGTGAATAAAGCACACATTTAAGACCATCATGTAGATATGTCTTTTAGAACCATGGAATACCTGAATAGTCTAGTCAATGGATGGGAAGAGCCACTTACCTCAACTTGATGCATTCAAGGAGTCTGAGTGGTTCAGCGTAGACTTTAAGGTGTGCGAGCCTTAAAATTAGCTTCCCCGTGTCACTTGTAGTGCACATAAAATCCAAATGATGTTAGAATTTAACATCATAATAATCATAAACTATTGGAATTGCTGATAGTTTCTGTTTCAACCCAATGTCTCGATGACCAAGGCGAGTATGCCAAATTTGTCATGTACAAGACACTCTGGAAAACTATCTCGTACACAACATGTGCTACGGGTTGTGTCTTATGTGTAGTACAATCCAGATGATACACATAGAATGTGCTTGCCATATCCGTTGCATATGGT